CGCGGCGTGGGGGACGTAGCTTCACTCCACGCTTCGATCCAGTCATGCACCGACCTGGCCAACGAGATAGAGACGGAAGAGCGCACCCAGCGACGCGGGAAAGGGTATCAAGAAAGGGGAAGATTACAGTTACATCTGCGTAGGCGGAGAAAGAGCACGAAGAGATTACAGTTGAGATTGGAATTTAGGCGCGGTGGGAGCAGAGCGCAGGCCCAAGTGCAGTAAAGCGTGCGCAAGCAAGAAGCGAAGTGCAGTTACAGACAAAAATTACGGGATACCCAATTTCCTAGTCTAATTCCTATTTGCAAAAATAAATTCCGAAAAAACTTAAAGAAATAATTTTAATAGCCCGTCATCCGTTGCAAATTTAAAAACGACATTCCCGCGCGCTAATCGCGCCAAAATTCTCATTTCCCACATAAGAACAAGAAAGAAGTTATGGCAACCGCTATTTATCGCGCTGACTAAGGCGCGATCACTTAATCGTCGTCACGGGACCTTCCCGGCCCTGGTCCCAACAGCAAAAAGGAAAGAAGCGAGGGTATCCACGCAACCTGTCCGGCCAACCCCTATCTTTCACCCGACCAACCAGTTTCCGACCCCCGAAGCCGCTTCGCGTGGAAAGTCGTGTGATTACAGAAAATAGTTCGTCACACCGCACCCACAAATAGTGAGTGCCTGCCCGATCACCCCCCGTCACGGAAAGGAAAAAGTTATCACACTCCTGCACAACCTCTAAGTCCTCCGCACTTTGCACCCTCACGTTGTAATACCGAAGAGAATGCTAATGGAGGTTGAGGAGATGTGGTGCAGCGTGCGCTGACTCTACTTTATGTTGTTGACAGGAGAGGCACTGATCGATGCACTCCTCCTCGCATACTGTGAATGGGACCGGAACATCAACCTCTTGCAACTCATCGGCCACCGTCCGACTCCAGGAGTAAATTAGCGACATAACCTTTTGTCCCCTGTCTGATCTCCTCTGCAACTGGTGGATGGGGGTCATGACCCAGATCCCATACTCCACATCCCGCCAAACCTATGCGTCGCGGATGGTCTGCCACACCTATAACGCTTGCTCGACCAACCGAGACTCCCACGGGATATTCTCCCAAGCATCGGCGTGCAACATTGACTCCAAGGGTCTCTCCTCTCCTTTCGGCAAAGGAGCATCAGAAAAACGGACACGAATCGTGTTTCCACCGGCTGAACATTGTCAAGCTTGCTCTCCGACCTAAAAAGGTGAAGAGCAGAGGCGTGCGAATTCATATATTGCACTAAGGCCCTACCACGAAGAATGCACGAGGCCATCCAATCTACCCTGGTTTTGGCATCTGAGAGCATCAAGTTGCCGATGTGATTGGAGCACGTGAGCCACCTAATAAGACACAACTCCGGGTCAGCAGTTATCCATGTTTTTCCTCAATTTTCGTGAACTCCTTTAATAGTTCTCAGATTGTTCTTAGCCGAGGCCAGGTAATGGCCCTGGTATATCAAATGACTTGTATAATTCTATATGGGACGCTGGGCCCAGTCCCCAGCACTTATTGCTCCCCACGAATAGAGTGGAGCATTTGTCCCAAAAAAAAAAAAAAAAAAAAAAAGATTCATGAACTGGTAGGGCCTCTTTTCTGAAAATACGTACTTGGGCCTTGTTGTAACCATTAAGGGTACCACCCTTGGCCTCTTTTACATCGGAATGAAACTGGCTCTGTTTATGTGCCACCCGTAGGGCCCTTGGAGGCACGCCTGGGCCTGCTCTGCAGGGAAAGGTTTGGGCATGCGGGGAAAGGTTTGGGCATGTAGTACCAAAGGGCGGAACGGCAGGCGGTAAAAATTGAAGAGGTGTTGGCGTGGAAGGTTTCCACCAATTATCCCTATCAAATTGAAAAAGGTTAGCTACATTCTTCTCTCCGTTTCACCTCACACTATCTACCTACCACTACTCCTAATTATAGTCCTACGACATTGCTCACTTGTGGGGTCAGACCGAAAAAGTAGTCGAGGGAAGGTGAAAAAGAAATAGAGGTGGTCGCAAATTGCTCAACAATTGCGATTTGACGGGCGGGCGGGGCAAAGTGTGACTTCAAAACTACAGCAAATTTTGCTATTTTGCCAAAAAGCGTCAAGTGTGAGTCGGCCCTTAGACGGGAGCACTTCACCGCTCACATCAAATACGGCCGAGGGCAGGGACCGTCTCGTTATCACAAGGCCTCATGGAATTATTACAAATGCACGTTGCGGCCTCCGGTGGGCAGGTGCACTCTGTGTTTTTCCCTTTTTCGTGTGCCATCTGGCGTGGTTCTTGAATTTCTATATGCTACGTCGCATGGAAACTTGTCCAAGCCGGGAGTATGCGGAGTCCCCGCACAAAAGGGCGCGTGCGCTCACGCGGGCCACAGAGAAATAGAGAGCGAGAGAGAGAGAGAGAGAGAGAGAGAGAGAGAGAGGTTCAGGGGGTAAGAGGTCACAGGGACCCGGGACGAAGGCAACGTTGGGGTGGGACCGTGGCTTGCGCCCGGGCGGGTTCGAATTTGCTTGGAATGAACTCCAGTCTGTTCCCGACATGGATGCTAATCTTTCTAGTTGAACATGTGCGACGGTTCTGAGAGCGGCGTCGGAGGAAGACGGACGGCGGGGGTTCTTCCCAGTGTCCACCGGCCGAAAACGTCTTGACATTGAATTTCATTCCGATTCCGTGTCATTAGTGACGGAGGAGAGAGGACGAGCGACAACCGAGGGACTAAGGAGAAAGAAAGGACGGGGCGGGAATGGCGTGATTATTTCCCCGGGCACTTCTAGTGGGAGACATGTCTGTAGTTTAAATCCGCACACCTCACTGCGTCCATAGACTAGAGATCGAATCGCACCAAGCGCGGGCGATTGGAGCTTGAGAGAGTGAGAGAAAAAGCGGACAGCAGGGCGTGGATTTACAGATCTTGAGAGATGATGGTGATGTCGGCAAGAGGACGGGGGAGAGTAGCTGGGTGTACGGTTGTGTGTCTACGATAATTCACATAGCTGTGACGGGATAAAATCTATTCTCCTCGTGTTACTAGCGGGAGTGGAGCAGAAGCGTGTAGTTGAAATGCATAGCGTTCGGGACTCGGGAGAGGTCGAAAATTATAACTGTCGACCTTACTAGGTGTAGCTAATGGAGTTGAGCGAACGAAGAAGGAGAAGGACAGGTGGAGCGTCTAAGCCAGCGTTTGTGCAGGTAACCACGTGATGACCTGCTCTTATATGAAGCCCAATCTCTTTCTCTCGTCGTCGTCATGTCGTCTCGTAGCTCGTTCTCGCCCGTTCGTCAATCCTCCGCCTCGTCATCCTTGACCCTTACCCCGCTTTCGTCTCCTCTTCGTTGAAAAAGTTTTTCATTGTGAGAGCTTGGAACGTCGCCCCCGTGTTTCGTCCTCCTTCCCCTTCCCTTGAGGTTTCTTTCCTTGGCGCTTCCTTGCCTTCCGCCATTCTTCAGTATCTGCAACGGTCGCATGGTGTCGGCCGTGTTTTCCCGTCTGCGAGCGCACATTCTGGTTTCCTCTGCTAATTTGCGTGTTAACGTTTCTTTTTTCTTTCCCATTCTCTTTGCGCCTTTCTCTCTCTTATCTGCTTCTTTTCCCGTTCCTCCACTGATGTCGCTTTAGCAGTGGAAAATAACGTCATGCTCTGTAGTTCCAGAAATAGATTCCGATATCTTCTCTTGGAGAACAGGGAAACGAAAATTTTGAGAAGATAGTCGAACTTTCCGTATGCCCTTAGAGGTTGGTTGCTTCCCGGACGTAACCTGCGGAAATTGCCTCCCACCTCCAAACGCGGATGACCTGGAGATCATCGACACTGGTTCTCGCCCCCCACGGAAACGATTGCACCATCTGTTTGAAAACACCGTAAGCACCGTCAGTACAGCACAGGCACATCTTCCTCGCTCTCTTTCTCATGCTCTCTTCATCACGCCCCACGAAGCGTAGCTGCATCGGTTTATAAGCCAGAGCGGACCGCGCAAGAACACAAGCACGTAGACCGATTCACACACGCAAGCGCGCCAACTCTGACCATCCTACACGCGGAGTAACAGAAAAATACATATGCACCCAACCTCCCTCCCCCCCCCCCC